TTGTTACATCTTGTGATCCGTTTATTTGGCAATCGCCAATGGCAGTCAGCAGGGTTAAAGAACATCAGTTGTTCGACCTGTTAGTCAAATGCGTTTTGTTAAAATATACTTTTTCACTTTTATGGTCTTTTGGAAAATGTTGTTTGTGCTGTATTTAGACCCCTCTACCAAGAAATTTGTTTTGCATGCACAAGTATAAAAATTGCGGTTTTTATCCAACGCAATCATAGGTTTGAACGTCGTTTTCAATTTAGACTTGTTTATTTTTTTTCGTTTGGGCTTGTATTATATTTTCCTTCGAGTTTATATGATCCGTTCATTCTATTTCGACTCTTTAAAATTCAAGAGTCTATCCTAAATTGAGGTAAATTTTATGGCCTTCCAAATACTGTTTCGATCCCTAACATCACTGAAGAGACATTAATTGTCAAAATCCGGATATGGTGTACTAATTTTTGCACCTTTTGTTTGCGGTATACCATCTTTCCGCAAGTTTATTGTTTTCTGTTTGGTATTAGATATTAATTTTTAAAGATCCATTTTGTTACATCTTGTGATCCGTTTATTTGGCAATCGCCAATGGCAGTCAGCAGGGTTAAGAACATCAGTTGTTCGACCTGTTAGTCAAATGCGTTTTGTTAAAATATACTTTTTCACTTTTTTGGTCTTTTGGAAAATGTTGTTTGTGCTGTATTTAGACCCCTCTACCAAGAAATTTGTTTTGCATGCACACGTATAAAAATTGCGGTTTTTATCCAACGCAATCATAGGTTTGAACGTCGTTTTCAATTTAGACTTGTTTATTTTTTTTCGTTTGGGCTTGTATTATATTTTCCTTCGAGTTTATATGATCCGTTCATCCTATTTCGACTCTTTAAAATTCAAGAGTCTATCCTAAATTGAGGTAAATTTTATGGCCTTCCAAATACTGTTTCGATCCCTAACATCACTGAAGAGACATTAATTGTCGAAATCCGGATATGGTGTACTAATTTTTGCACCTTTTGTTTGCGGTATACCATCTTTTCCGCAAGTTTATTGTTTTCTGTTTGGTATTAGATATTAATTTTTAAAGATCCATTTTGTTACATCTTGTGATCCGTTTATTTGGCAATCGCCAATGGCAGTCAGCAGGGTTAAAGAACATCAGTTGTTCGACCTGTTAGTCAAATGCGTTTTGTTAAAATATACTTTTTCACTTTTATGGTCTTTTGGAAAATGTTGTTTGTGCTGTATTTAGACCCCTCTACCAAGAAATTTGTTTTGCATGCACACGTATAAAAATTGCGGTTTTTATCCAACGCAATCATAGGTTTGAACGTCGTTTTCAATTTAGACTTGTTTATATTTTTTCGTTTGGGCTTGTATTATATTTTCCTTCGGGTTTATATGATCCGTTCATCCTATTTCGACTCTTTAAAATTCAAGAGTCTATCCTAAATTGAGGTAAATTGTATGGCCTTCCAAATACTGTTTCGATCCCTAACATCACTGAAGAGACATTAATTGTCGAAATCCGGATATGGTGTACTAATTTTTGCACCTTTTGTTTGCGGTATACCATCTTTTCCGCAAGTTTATTGTTTTCTGTTTGGTATTAGATATTAATTTTTAAAGATCCATTTTGTTACATCTTGTGATCCGTTTATTTGGCAATCGCCAATGGCAGTCAGCAGGGTTAAAGAACATCAGTTGTTCGACCTGTTAGTCAAATGCGTTTTGTTAAAATATACTTTTTCACTTTTTTGGTCTTTTGGAAAATGTTGTTTGTGCTGTATTTAGACCCCTCTACCAAGAAATTTGTTTTGCATGCACACGTATAAAAATTGCGGTTTTTATCCAACGCAATCATAGGTTTGAACGTCGTTTTCAATTTAGACTTGTTTATATTTTTTCGTTTGGGCTTGTATTATATTTTCCTTCGGGTTTATATGATCCGTTCATCCTATTTCGACTCTTTAAAATTCAAGAGTCTATCCTAAATTGAGGTAAATTTTATGGCCTTCCAAATACTGTTTCGATCCCTAACATCACTGAAGAGACATTAATTGTCGAAATCCGGATATGGTGTACTAATTTTTGCACCTTTTGTTTGCGGTATACCATCTTTTCCGCAAGTTTATTGTTTTCTGTTTGGTATTAGATATTAATTTTTAAAGATCCATTTTGTTACATCTTGTGATCCGTTTATTTGGCAATCGCCAATGGCAGTCAGCAGGGTTAAAGAACATCAGTTGTTCGACCTGTTAGTCAAATGCGTTTTGTTAAAATATACTTTTTCACTTTTATGGTCTTTTGGAAAATGTTGTTTGTGCTGTATTTAGACCCCTCTACCAAGAAATTTGTTTTGCATGCACACGTATAAAAATTGCGGTTTTTATCCAACGGAATCATAGGTTTGAACGTCGTTTTCAATTTAGACTTGTTTATTTTTTTTCGTTTGGGCTTGTATTATATTTTCCTTCGAGTTTATATGATCCGTTCATCCTATTTCGACTCTTTAAATTCAAGAGTCTATCCTAAATTGAGGTAAATTTTATGGCCTTCCAAATACTGTTTCGATCCCTAACATCACTGAAGAGACATTAATTGTCGAAATCCGGATATGGTGTACTAATTTTGCACCTTTTGTTTGCGGTATACCATCTTTTCCGCAAGTTTATTGTTTTCTGTTTGGTATTAGATATTAATTTTTAAAGATCCATTTTGTTACATCTTGTGATCCGTTTATTTGGCAATCGCCAATGGCAGTCAGCAGGGTTAAAGAACATCAGTTGTTCGACCTGTTAGTCAAATGCGTTTTGTTAAAATATACTTTTTCACTTTTTTGGTCTTTTGGAAAATGTTGTTTGTGCTGTATTTAGACCCCTCAACCAAGAAATTTGTTTTGCATGCACACGTATAAAAATTGCGGTTTTTATCCAACGCAATCATAGGTTTGAACGTCGTTTTCAATTTAGACTTGTTTATATATATATATATATATATATATATATCTTTATATGATCTGTCGTCTTGAATATGTATGAAATATTTGCCACTGGACGTTAAATTCCCATCAATCAAACAATTATAATGATCTGTGATTTTGTCATTGGTAGGGTGATTTAATTCTCGATATATAATTCTTTCTTTATAGAAATAAGGAGATATGGTATAACTGTCAACTAGACAACTATCAATCAAAGTTCAAATAAAGTGGCTATACGTTATCAAAATACATTGTAAGCAATTATAGGACACCATACAGTCTTTAATAATGAACAAATTCTACACTATATAGTCGGCTATAAAAGGTCCCGACATGAAAAATGTGAAACAATTCAAACGAAAAAACTAACGGCCTAATTCATACCAAAACAATTAACGGAAATCAATTATGACAGACATGAGCCAACGACAACAACTGAACTACAGACTCCTGACTTGGGACAGGCACATAAAGAATGTGACGGGGTTAAATATGTTTGTGAGCGCACAATCCTCACCTAACCTGGTACAGTGGTGTACAAGCACAACATAAGAACAAATTTCATCCATTTTAGATATATACATTCTGAAAAGTTCGAAATGTCGGTGAAATATTTGTCATTTGACTTAAATCAACGAGCAATGAATAAAATAAACAGTGTGGAATATACAAGGCGTTGCTATATATTGATGGGATATTACACTTGTTATTTTTTTATTTCTATTCTAGATCATGCGCATAGTGTGGCTAGTGTTTTCATTTGGAGCTTGTATTTCAGATTCATGTAAATAAACTACGTTTGTTGTGAAATTTTAATGAAGTTTACAGACCAAAGAGAGTGTATGTGTTCTCCCCCCCGAAAATATATGAGGGGTATATGCAAAATCATGTTCGAGGGACATATATACCACGATGACATCAATAGGATGTGTAGTTTAAAAGGAGTTGTAATAAAAAGAAAACATTTTAAAATGTGAAGGTTTAAATTTCCTCCTTTCCTAAAATCAGGAGAACGATCTATTAATTGATTGATTGGGAAACGTTCAGTGACAAATCTTTGAAAGATACTGAGCTCACGAAGAAAAATCTCGTGGAAAGTGAATGAGAAGACTGAACAACCAGTATCATATATTTTTGGAATATTTATTCTGGACACGGTAAAAATGTTAAAAAAAACAAGAACCCTTTCCAAAAAACCGAGCAAGAATCATTTTATCCTGTACATACAATAAGGGGCGCTAGGAATAAGAGAAAATGGAAGATCAAATGAGAACCTGGTTTCCCTTAAACAAGATCTTTTAATGTTAATACCACTTAATTAGCTGTAATTAGATTATTGTAGTTCTATGTTCTATAAATATTAAAGTTTTTGACAAAAAAACAAACTATTACCTCGTCGTTTATAAGTCTTTTTTTTTTTTGGTAACTTCCCATCGAATTTATGTTTTCCAGTTTGTTTGGTTTTTTTTTTTGTCTACATTTTGTTAAAATTTGTAGGAAAAATGGTCATAACAGTTATTATTTCATTTTTATGTCCCAAGATAGTAGAGGGTACTTTTGTTTTCTGGTGTGTGCACCCACCCGTCCGTACGTTCGTTTTTCCGTCTATCCCGTAACATAATATTCTTTTTAGTTAAGGTAGTGGACCATGAAGTTGTGGTCACATAAACTTGAATCTTAGGACATATGTGAGCTGAATAAATAATTTGCCATATTACGGTTTTGACTACAATTACATGGTTCACTGAAGAAAAAAAGAAATGTGATACTGGACAATTACTGCATTCTCGGTAGAAAGTTTTTGCATGGTTAAAGTAGTTTGCCATGATGCTTGGTCACATCAACTTGAAATATGGTAGACATGTTCATTTTCAAAATTTACCATCCATATAACAAATATTTATTTAAGCATTGAGAATATGAGTGCAGCTGTAACACTGCTCGACATTGTAAACTATAATGCAGTAAATAAAACTATAAATGAAACTGAGAATTTACTAAAACATTTTAAAACAAAAATATTTCGTCATTAAGGAATAGAATTTCGAATGGAGTTTAGGTGGTTTTTGTTAGAAGTTATATATCGGAAAGTTCCATTTTGTTCGTCTGCTATCCCTTCCAACATGGATGCTTTAGATCCTCTTCGAGAATCTACAATGCTAATCATCTGTGTGGTGTTCTTATTGTTACATCTGTTTGATTTTGGTTTTCTTTTGCAAACTGTTTTGATCAAGCTTCTAAAGCTGGTCATGAAATTTTCATTCAGACCACTGTATATTATTGGATTCAATGCACTGTTGGTGTACAACAATGTTACAGCAATAAAATACAGAGGATTGTACCAATCAGGAAGCTGAAATACAAACAAAGTAATTCATACATATCCGCTTATTTTACTTCTCATATAAACGCAAAAGTGTGTGTAAGTGTTCGTGCGTGTGTGTGTTTAGAGTAATTTCAAACCTTCATATATTATCGTTCCTTCAAACTTAAAGGTAATGTTAATTCAATGTCATCAATATAAATATAGTCAAGGTCATGTTTTTTCTCTGACTGTTAATGACGTTTTTACACTAAATCCATTTAATGTTGTATGTATACTGACTGATATTTTAGTCTTAGATGCATGATATTTTTTATTTGTTGTTATTGGCTTTGAGTTAGCTGTCAGTAACTCTCAGATCTTTACTTAGTGTCTTTTGTTGTGGGGATGTATAAGTACCCTGCCACGTCCACTCTGTGTTTTTGTTAGATATATTTCTGCTTTGTATCTATCTGATGAGTTGAGCCCTTTTCAACTGAATTTTACAGTTTGTTCTTATGTTGTACTGATACACCAATGTCACAGGTTAGGGGAAGGTTGGCGCCTTCAAACTAGTTTAACCCCGCCACATTCTGTATGTGTCTGTCCAAAGTCAGGAGCCTGTAATTCAGTGGTTGTCGTTTGTTGCTATCTATCATATTTGTTTTTCGTTCATTATTTTGTACTTAAATCAGGCCGTTAGTTTTCTCGTTTGAATTTCTTTACATTTATCATTTCGGGGCCTTTTATAGCTGACTATGTAGTAAGTGTTTCACTCATTGTTGAACGCCGTACGGTGACCTATAGTTGTTAACTTCTGTGTCATTTTGTCTCTTGTGGAGAGTTGTCTCATTGGCAATCATACCACATCTTCTTATTTTTATGTAACGATAAAAAGGGTAACGGTTGATATCAATACCAAAGCGGTCCAAGTATGGCGAACTGTACTTAGATATAAGAAGATGTGGTATGAGTGCCAATGAGACAACTCTCCATCCAAGTCACAATTTGTAAAAGTAAACCATTATAGGTCAAAGTATGGCCTTCAACACGGAGCCTTGGCCCACACCGAACAGCAAGCTATAAGGGGCCCCAAAAATGACTAGTGTAAAACCATTCAAACAGGAAAACCAATGGTCTAATCTATGTAAAAAACGAGAAACGAGAAACACTTATAAACCACATCAACAAACGACAACCACTGAACATCAGGTTCCTGACTTAGGACAGGTGTACTTGTTCACACTTTTGTGCTTTGGTCTTTATGGATAGATGTCTCATTAGCAGTCATAACTCATCTTCTTATTTTTGTATACGATTAAACCCAATTATAAACCCACTTAGCATTTCAAATTAAAACTAAGCTTTAATTGTAGTATATTTTCGATGTAGACTGGGGTTTTTAAACCCTTACATAAAAGTCGTTACCGAACTTTTTATAAATAACACAAACACATAAGATTGGTCGCTTTTCCTAAAAAGGGAATTCATAATGAAAAGGTTTAAATTTGATTTACAAAAAATACATACCGATTGCCTTCTGTCAGACCGAAACAGTTCAAACAGCTTTGTTACTTGAAAAGGTATCGCACATACAATAAATGCTATCAATATGGCAAACAACATCATGACAACCTAGAAAGCAATCACAAACGAAAAACATTGAAACAATGCCATAAAGATAGACTGTGCAGTAATACCACTATGACAAATATCTACTGTTGATAAAGACACTGTCATTATCACAAAAAAAAAAGAAAATAAGAGAATTATCTATGTTTCATTCAACATGTGTTTTATCATTTTCAAGAAATTACAATTTCGGGTTGATCAAAACCAGAAATTCAAAAAACCAAAATACGATATAAAGATAATAAGTTAACAATAAGCTCATCATAGCACAAAGAGCCATTGTCGATCTCTTCAGAGAGTTTGATTTAATAATCAGTGCTAAAAGAATAAGATGCAACGTGCTTTAATTGTGTTGTTCTTTACAAAAGAATTTTACTTTTTCTATTTTCAGCTGACGTCAAAAACAAAGTATATATGATAATATTATTTATGTTAATTGTACTCATTGTATAATTACCTCCTATGAAACTGATGATGTGTATAAATGTCATTTAGTTATTGATGTCGTTGGTTTGCTGTCTCAATGACGTATACCCCATGTCTCCTTATATTCAATTCTGTTTTTGTGACAGAAAATCGGCCAGATTATTTAATCACTGGATATACACGTTTTGATGTATATTTCACATTTTGTTTTTGCAAGAGGTTCGAACAAATTTCCAGATGTCACAACTTCTCATGCAGTGAAAGATTATCAGGTATCCATCTAGGTTTGTATGTAAATGACAATACAAAAATATGTGTTGCACATCCCCAATATCAGACAAGCATTGCGAATAAAGTGTAGAACTTTTTTCAATATTGACTCTAAACATTCATGGATAAAGAATGACTCTCATAAGAGGCTTACTGATTTAGAGCAAAGTTATGTCTCCTCGGCTCAAACAGACAACAGTATGAAGTGTATTAGCCTATGTAATTAACTTTAGTTGGTCTCCTCCTTTCAGTCAAAGATTCCCGTTTAACTTATCTATACGCAATATATATAAGAAGATGTGGTATGAGTGCCAATGAGACAACTCTCCATCCAATGTCAATAAAACATTATAGACTCCACGCCTATCATAGCAACTTCAAGTTGTGCATATTGTAATTAGAAGTAATATCCGATCTCAAATTTTTCCGCAAATCAATGAATTGTTTTTGTGTATTGTCTTTTTGGTCGAGTTAAGCCATTTCAACTGATATTTTATTGAGTGTCTTTTTATGTTGTAATATTATACCACTGTTTCAGGTTATTGTGAAGGTTGGCGCCTGTTAAAACGTTTAAACCCACTGCATTTTTATGCACCTGTCCTAAGTCAGGAGCCTGTTTTCAGTGGTTGTCGTTTGTTGGTGTGGTTCATAAGTGTTTCTCGTATTTTATATAGATAAGACCGTTGGTTTTCCTGTTTGAATTGTTTTACACTAGTCTTTTTGAGGCCCTTTATAGCTTGCTGTTCGGAGTGAGCCAAGGCTCCGAGTTGAAGGCCGTACTTTGACCTATAATTGTTTACTTTTTACACATTGTGACTTGGATGGATAGTTGTCTCAATGGCACTCATACCACATCTTCTTATTTATATATAAAGTTAGTATACAAAAAAGTAAAATACCAAAAATCCAAGGAAAATTCAAAACGGAAAGTCCTTTATCAAATGTCAAAATCAAAAGCTCAAACACATCGAACGAATGGAAAACAACTGTCATATTCCTGACTTGGTACAGGCATTATATAAATGTTCAGTTTAACTCATAAGTCTAGGTATAAAGCAGACAAAACTAGAAGTGATAAAAATCTGAACAGACACAAATAGTAATGAAAACAATCTAAATTAGTCAAAATATAGAAATGAAAACAACCTGAATCAGACAAAAACAGGAATTAAAAAATTCTGAATTAGACAAAACTAGGAATGAAAACAATCTGCATCGGACAAAAATAGGAATGAAAACAATCTGAAAATCAGACAAAAATAGGAATGAATACCATATGAATTGGACTCAAAAGGAATGAAATAATCTGAATCAAAGAACAATAGGAATGAAAACAATCTTAATCAGACCAAAAATATGAAATAAAACAATCTGAATCAAACAAAAATAGGAATAAAAACAATCTGCATTGGACAAAAATAGGAATGAAAACAAACTGCATTGAACAAAGATAGGAATGAAAACAACCTGCATTAGACAAAAAAAGGAATAAAACCAAATACATTGGATATGAATAGGAATTAAAACAATCTGCATTGAACAAAGATAGGAATGAAACCAATCTGCATTGAACAAAGATAGGAATTAAAACAATCTGCATTGAACAAAAATAGGAATGAAATTAATCAGCATTGGACAAAAATAGGGATAAAAATAATCTGCATTGGACAAAAAAAGAAATGAAAGCAAACTACACTGGACTAAAATAGGAATGAAATTAGTCTGCATTGTACAGAAATAGGAATAAAACCAAACTACATCGAACAAAGATAGGAATAAAACCAAACTACATTGGATAGAAATAGGAATTAAAACAATCTGCTTTGAACAAAGATGGGAATTAAAACAATCTGCATTGATCAAAAATTGGAATGAAAACAAACTTCATGGGACAATCTGATTAATACCAAATGAATTTCGGTACCTTAATGAGATGCTGTTTTATCAAACAGGATATATTTCATTATCATAGCTTTTCGTATGATTTTGAATAATCAAAATATATTTGTTCTATTTTTATAAGGCAGTTACCAAAATAATGTATATTGAATGTAACATCGCTGTCATTTGGAAGTCACAAAAAACTACAAATTATTATGGGTCTGAAAAAATTTCTTTACTTTGAATGTATATATATCTTATAATTTGATCAAAAGACATTGATATTAAAATCGTGTATTTTTTAATAATAAAAGGATATGTAGGGTAATCCATCTATCAACCCAATGATATAAAAACCTAAAGCCATACAACCATATTATGTATATTTGTAATTTCAATATTTTATTAGTATCTTATGGTATACCTTTCGTTTTGATCTCTGTTGTATTGCAGATGTAGATAGCGCGCCAGAACTGGGAATAATTCTTCTCTTGCCAAGCCTCACAAGGATGATCGTGTACATCACTATCATGATTACCATAGGAATCCAGTTAAGAACGACAAGAACACATACCCAGTACGCACTCTTTGACCTGTAGCCGTTATCACATTCACCATCCGAGTTTCTCGTCTGTGGCCATACATCAGAGCAGAATCTTTCTAGAAAATCTTTCCATTGCCTCTTTGTGTACTTGTAGAAAAACAAAGCTGGCATACCTATGGCTGCAGCACATGTCCATATAATTACCATTACGAAACTGACCCTCCTCTGTGTAATACGTGATTTCAAAGGGAACATGATGGCGAAGAATCTGTCTCCAGCTATAGCTACCAAGGTAAATATACTAGCACACATTGCTGTAACTTTAAAAAGCTTATTGTTCATTTATTTTGTTATCTCAGTTTTAGTTTTTGCTATACAGACAATGATAAACGCAAAAATGCAAAATCCTGAAGAAAACTACAGAAACTTTTGTGTAGCTGTTGCTATTTTAACTTTATTTTTGTGTTAGCCGTTTTGTATATACTTCGAATAAGACGTAAATATAACATTTATATTCGTTCTAGTGCAATGACAAAGAAAGACGCTTCATTGCAAACAGGCAATGAAATCTTTAGAATAATTATGGTTTCGATTATATATCGGTATTTCCCACTGTGTGTCCCCAGAACTCCTAACTTGTTTCATTTTCATAAGATGTATGGACAAAAGAAAAAAGATGACGAATTTATATTGTAACTTTGACGTTTTACAAGTCATAATTATTTATCAAAAAAACTGTCTCCAATTATATTCAAACACGTCAGCACAAAAATTCACGTTGTTGTCTAACAAATATAAATTTGTATATCTATCCGCGACTGTATGATGACGACACCTTACCAAATTTTATAAGGAAAATTGGGGCTCACGGTAACAAATAGTTGCGTCTACCCCAAATAATATTTTTGTTATTCATCCATTTATATTTTATATTCAATTTCCAAGTATATGCAATGGCAAAGAAAAAATATTGTCTCGCGATATTTATTGTCGTACTTACTTTGTATAAAAGGGTTAAATTTACAGAAATACGCCCCGACTACCCAACCTTCAGTGACGTCATCGACCAGGTGAATCCATATTGGAAAGCAAGCAACAAGCAAATCGGCAATGGATAAATTCACAATATAAAAGTTGGTAGCTGTTCTCATTTTCTTTGAATGAACAACAATAAAGATGATGAGAATATTTCCAATGATAGCGACAAGGTCTACAGCAGCTACAACTGCTATTTTCACTGCTGTTTCCCATGCTGGAAACTTTTTCAATTCGCCAATAAAGTTTGTATTAGAAAAATCTACACTGACTGTTGCGGTATTTTCGCATTTACCGGACATTGTAGACTGCTTCAGTCCATGAGAATAATGGACGAATATGATACTGACAGGAATAATGGAGAAGATAGCGATGCTGCAATCATTAAGGGTTATCAAACGCCTACTTGTTTATCATTGTCAATATTTAGTTTTACTTTGATATGAATAAAACCTGGAAATATCTCACCATACATCATTCTATTTATACAGGATAATTAATTCCAATAAAAGTTAACGTAAGAAAGTTTCATTGAAAACCATATTATCAACAGGAACAAATATAATTCATCAACTATATAAACAAATAAACTTCTCGGGTACGATTTCATCGAACTTCGACCACATTCGTAAAATTCAATTAATGTAAATTATAACTAAAGAGGCAGTATCTTTGGTACCTTTTCAATAAGATTTTTACTTGTACAGCCAAACTTCTATATCAAATCGTTGTATCCATGAAAGAGTTTTTAGTTGTCTCAACTAACTCTTGTATGATTTGACTGTCGCAGTAATACATACATACACAAAAAAAATGCAACAATACACACGTGCTAGTTGGGAATTTGCCTGCGCCTAGAAAAGGGAAATGGCAAACAGAAACTATTCACTTGCACTAAATTTTAATAAAGAGTTTTTCTTGTAAAATAGTAATATATGAATTAAGATCAAGACATCGAACCTGTGCATATTAACTTATATTTCTAGAGTAAAAACCTGCTTTATGATGTGAAAAGTCTGAATTATTATAAGCAAAAATACCTTTTACCAAATCATTGATTTGTACAAGTAAACAATTTTTTTGTTCTTTTAATTTTCAAGATTTTCGAAACAAATATGAAATGTCCAGTGACTTAATAAGGACGGAGAACAAAACAAAATTCATTAAAAAATCATAGAATAAAAAAAGCAGGCAACGTCGAAGTCAAAACATTGAAGAAAAAAATCCGCAAATCTCTACAAAATACAAAAGATTGAACGACACGAACCCCCACCAAAACCTAAAGGGTAAGTAGTTTCTGTTCCGGTAATGACACCCGTCGTGTTGCATGACATGAAAGTCTGATGTTGTTTTTGTTGATGTCAAAATCGAGGAGAGGGGGCGAGATTGTGGTTACGACAAATGGAACATACTGGTGGTTAATTGTGACAGACATTCCATAACGGTCAACCAAACCTTAATGGTGTACATTAAACTTTTGAAGAGGGGACCCTCAACAGCCTTCTCAATAAAAAAACATGATGTGGAACGCAAATCCTGGAATAAACTTCTGCTATAATGCAACATAGAATTTGAACGTTCACAATGGGAAAATTTAAATTATATATGTCGAAAACTTCTCAACCTCATTGGCAATTTATAGATGTAGGTGATGTGAATCAAACCTCAGTCCTGACTGTTTCATGTGTATCCCTGCTATCCGTTACTTCAACTTTAAAGGGATACATGCGATCAAAAAGTCACCAATAATAAACTATTTAGTGAGAGGACATCATCTATATAGCAGAACGTGAAGTTAAAAGGTAATACTAGCTGCTTATATTCTTTCGGGGAAGCCCTTGTATTAAGATTGAAAAAAATTCTTTAATTTCAACGCCTACTAAGCAGACCGTCGAAATTCACTTTATTTTGAATGAGAAATACACAATTGTGACAATGTCATAATTCATTTGAAGCTTATACTATAAAAAGTAAAATCACAAAAATACTGAACTCCGGGGAAAATTCAAAAAGGAAAGTCCCTTATCAAATGGCAAAATCAAAAGCTCAAACACATCAAACGAATGGATAACAACTGTCATTTTCCTGACTTGGTACAGGCATTTTCTTATGTAGAAAATGGTGGATTGAACCTGGTTTTATAGCTAGCTAAACCTCTCACTTGTATGACAGTCGCATCAAATTCCATTATATTGACAACGATGCGTGAACAAAACAAACAGACACAATAGGTAAAAATGTCAAAAATAGGGGTACAGCAATCAACATTGTGTTATCATCTTAATCACTATAAAAACAAACAAATGTAACAAAGAAGCACAAAAAGGCATACATCAAATTTAACATCCTCATTTTACTTTTTTATTTAACGATTTTATTTATCTATGTAAAATCCACCCATAAAGAATGGAAGGTTTTAAGTACTGGTGTAGAATCGCGCGTTTGACGTCACACAGGTAAATATAAAATAATTTTGTCGTAAAACGATAGAATTACATTGTTATGCTTCATTTATGTTCTGCAATAGTCATTAAAAAAAATTATGTGATCCTTCAATGTGATACTGGTGCTTTTGTATGTATAAATTCAAAATCAAACCCGACATTAACTTCTCTTAATAAGAAAATGAAAACATTCTTTATGAATTTCATGAGTCCGAAGTACATTTCTAGATTTACCTTCATCAGAACGCTCAAAGTCAAATATTTGAAAGCAAAGGATGTATAAGAAAACAGTTGGAGAGATATTAAACAAAAAAGGACATATAACTTAGACTGATGCTGAAGTTTTTGAGGTTGCGGCTGTTGATTTCGAAGAGTGTTATGTACCACTGTTGCTACCATGATTGATCTTTATGTTGTTACTATTTTGCTGGCATTTCATATTGTAAACGAGTTATGTGAACTTTGTTTGGTCTTAATGTCTCCAATAGGATATCGGACGGACTTTTAGTCAGGTCTTATATTTTTTGTTTTTGTTGTAAAACAGAGATACATTTAATGTACTAGTATATGTAGATGTTTATTCGAGAAATAAGTAATCAGAAGTTTTGTCAGGTCTATTGAATGTTGAAGTTTTTTTATTTCCTCTAATTATCCTTCTATTCTTTCATCCTCTATGGAAACTATTATTCTGAGAAATATGTTTGAAAATGATACCATAAGTTCAGAGTTTTTGGTATGTTCTGTCATTTTTCTTAATTTTGCTAATAAAGTGGACTTTGAAGAAGTTTACTGAAACTTTTCCTAATTGTTAGAACCTAAAGTTTTCTATTCTAACCTTAAAATAAAATCATCAGCTCTTAAATTTTGGGATAGTTTTAGTTATAATAAGTTAACTTCAAAACAGACTTGCGTTTTCAAAACTTTTGAAGAGTCCTTTTAATGTGCTCGTGTCCACTCTTTGCGTGACATTTATGCACCACTATCTTCATGTCCAAGAGTCCAAAGGTAAAAACGAAGGAATTACATTGTTAGGCTTTATTCATGTTCAGCAACAATCATTTTTACAAATAAACAAGAAAACAACACTTTAAAAATTCCATAGCGCATTTTTGGATTTACTTTCATCATGAACGCTCAAAGCCGAATATTTGAAAGCATTGGATGTATAGGAACTGAAACATTTGCAGGGCTATTTAACCAAAATAGGCCTATAACTTCGACTGGTTCTGAAGTTTTTGATGTTGTGGCTGTTGATTCTGAAGAAGGTTGTTGTACCGCTGTTTCTACCTTGTTTGATCTTTATGTTGTTACTATTTTGCGGGTAATTTGTTTGGGAAACGAACGTTGGCCTAAAGGTTTGCCGTCGGACATCGGACCGAATTTTTAGCCGTGTTTTATAATTTTTTGTTCCTGTTATAAAACAGAGAGAACATTCCTTTATGTATATGTTCATTCGATAGAAGTTTGAAGCTTTTTCTTTTCATCTAATGATCGTTCTATTCTTCCATCTCCTATGAAACCTATTGTTCTGAGAAATAAGTTTGAAATTGTACAAAAGTACATATGTTTTTGGTATGTTCTGTTATTTCTCTTATTTTTGCTAATAAAGTGGTCTTTTGAGAAGTATACCGAAATATTCCTGAAAAAATTAGAACCTAAAGTTGTCTCTTCTAATCTTAAAATAAACTCATTAACTCTTTTATTTTAGGGTTTTAATATGGTTATAATCAGCAAACTTCTAAACAGTCTTGTGTTTTCAAACCGTTTAAAGAGTCCTGTCAATGTGCTCATATGCACAATTTTTGTGATTTTTATGTACCACTGTCTTGGTGTCTAAGTATCTAAAAAAAAAGGAACGAAGGAATAACATTGTTAGGCTTCATTCATATCCTGCAACAATCACCTTAACAAATGATGTGGGTCCTTTATTGTGATGCTGATGGTTTTGTATTGTTCAAATTCAAAATGATCCCTGATGGCATTTTGACATTAACTTCTCTGTGAAAGTACTTTTATTCGTGGGTATCAATTTTCGTGAATTGAGCAAAAGTTACAAGTTCGTGGGTTCTTAAATGCGTAGATTTTAGTGAGAGAAAAAAATCGGGTGAAGAATTTGAACCCATCAGAAACGAAGATTCGTGAAAATAATCATATGGTCTTCATTTTCACTTACATGTTCGTCTTCCATTTCTGACAACATTCATAACATTTTTTGATAAAATAATTGCTTTCAGAAATAAGCTGATTCATCTCTGAATACAAATGTCTCATTGAAGGAAATTGTAAAGTAAACATTTTAATTGTTGCACACGTGTATTCAGAAGTGGTGAAACTAATTAACCCGAGATCGAATGATCAACAGATTAATGATCATCAAAGGTGTTAATTGGGCCATAGACATGTATGTAATTTAAAAAGAAAAGGTGGCATAGCAAATGCTACAAATGTACTTTGAAATAAAAAAGTAAGCCTAATTTGAAATTAATATTATTTTCGTGAGAGAATTACGAGGAGATAAAATGAACACTTCATCATCATATATCTTCACCGGAAGTTTGACTTTCATCTTTCCAAACTAATTTTTCATGAGAATTAAAAGGTTAAAAGACGTACAAATTAGGTTATTTAAAGATTAAAATCTTGTCTGAAGATTTACATGCTACACTAGTGCTACGCCATGCATATGG